CAAAAGCAAGCACAATTTGATGCAAATAGATGTTTGTGACATAACCTCAAAATAGAGCGCTGACACGGAGAATTAGAAAACTATGACAATCAAGGAGGCCATAAAGGCCTACAAATTGTAGGGACGACTGACGATACGGGCCTTAGCCTATGAGCTCGGCTTTCGACTACTTTGCGGAGCATCGGTTCTAGTGGCATATTAAATACCCGAACACCCAGAAAATTTGGTAACCACGTATTTTTTTGAAAGGAGGTTTTAGGAAGTAGCATGCTTTATTTTCTTGATGCTGAGATTATTCGCATACGAAGTAATATTTATTTTATATCGCTAAATAAATAATTTTCTTTTTTTTTGCACCGATGCAACAAAATTAATGTTCATAACGCCTCAATATTATAGAAGAATCAACTCACCGGTCCGGAAAGAGCCTCATAATTCGTGGTATAGTAATAATAATAATTGTATTGGTCCAACTACAAAGTTTTCTTATAAATAATAACAGTAGTGGCCAAGAAACATTAGATACCAAAAAAACTGGACACTTGTGCTGGGTTTTAACCGAACTTGGATTATATAAATACAACAAATTTTCTATAAGTATACTAGTCAAATGTATAAATTTGTATCAATTTATTACCAAATAACATATTGATTTTTAATGTCTACAAACTTATGGATTTGTAGGTTTGGTTGATTTAGGAGAATCTAATTTAATCTTTAAAGGCTTTCTACAATTTATATGTTGAAAGTTTGCAGGAAGGGCATATAAAATTTTGAGCACCGAAAGTTGAATGATCCTTGGCTGATAATTATATTTAGTCTGAGGATACTCGAAAGAACAGATGTCTCCTTGAATCTCGTTTGATGGTTGTGGCCGATAGAATGTAACAATTTTGGATTTTTTGTTAAATATACTATGATAAAAATATGTTTGCCGGTTGTCGAAAAGCTGAGTCACTATAAGGATTTTCTGTGGGATAGACCGCTAACTCCAAGCCATTACCTTCACTAGCGGCACGGATTTTATGTACCTTGAAAAGTAACATTATGCCGACTTTTTTTATTGGTTTGTCGTAACATTATGTAGATTTTTCTACAAGATGTTAGCTTGGCACTAGCTGATGGATACTTTGTGAACTCGTTTTGAAGTTGTACGTGTTGCCTAAACGTCATGAGGCTTCAGTTATCAATGTTTGGCTCTTGAGATCTAAACTGAGGGATATTGAGAATTTGTGTGTTAATAATGTATGATGATGGTAATTCCATTAGATTTTTGTCTCAAATACACTTACTTGAGATTCAAGGCTAGAAAGTTTTTCTTTTTTATCTATTCTGAAAATTACACATGTAAATTTGCTGAATTTCAAAAATGAGAGAGATAAGAAATAATTATATTCACTGTACATTGTCGAATTACAAGTCATGTACATACTAACAGTAATTACACACAACGCGGGCGCGGTGGTGATTTCTTCTGAATCTCAAAGTTTCTGAATCACAAAAGAAAAGTCGTAATTTATAACTTTGAACATAGCCTCTCTTCAGGAAGAACAACACAAATAACCCGTTTGGCACAGCTAATAGATATACTTCATTGGCAGCATAGTCAGTAATAATTTTCTCACATAGCAAATATCTCAGATTTTATACACATGCAGGCCAATACAATCATCCAGATGTGGTCTTGGTACTCAACCAAACTTTCGTTCTTGCAGATTTTAAGCACTACAATTTGTAATCTACAAAGTGGCTGTCTGCAACCAACAATGCATATTTGTAAAGAGACGAGCATGCCGTATCGTTCTTTCATTCCTGCACTGCTGGACGCTTTGGATAGCGCGCACAAGGATCCTAGTGGGCAAACGTGGAATTACAGTTTACACCCTAAAAAGTAACTACAGTATATTCAGATAAGAGATAGACCGGATGTAAACAAAAGGTTCGGGTGATTTTCACGCTAACGCCGCCGTCTCGACGTAAAACAGGAGCCTTCATTGGTCAATTCGCAATTAAATACCTATGCCGAGCGGCAGAGCAGTCGTATCAAGGCAGAGTCACATTCAGGTTCAGACGTGTTACGTATGTCGTGTGCATCATTGCAATTTGATATTTCTTTGGACGTTTTCGTTTGTTATCTTATTAAGTTGTTGAGTTTGTCGTTGTTATTATTATACCTTGTTATTGATTGTTATTGTTATCAACTGCTTGCGCAAAATGCCCAGTAGTACAGATACTGCCGATGAAGTTGTAAACTCCTGTAGTCCACCTAGGAAACGCTCTAAAAAAAGACACCTGAGTGCAGAAATGAAAGAGGTCATTTTGAATATATATAAGATCGAGCGCGAGGAGAACGAGGCATCAACCATCAAAGAAATTGTTGTGAAGGTTTCTCACAAAGATGGGGTGTGTCGCGCATCAGTGGTTAATGTGTTAAGACAAACAAAAAAATCACACCTTTTCTGAGCCAATGACCAGTAAACATCGCAAAAGTATTGTTAAATCATTGGATGAAGCTGATAAGCATGCGATTAGGAGGAAAGTGCATGAATTCTTCTTTAGGAATGAAATACCTACTATAGATAAAGTACTTCAGGAGGTAAATGGAGATACAACGTTGCCAAATTTCAAACGATCAACTTTCCATGCGTTACTGAAGCATTTAAATTTCAAATGGAAAAAACGGGGTCGTAATAGTTTACTACTGGATAGAGAAGAAATTGTGCTATGGAGGAGGGATTTAAAACCTTGATGAAACGTGGGTAAACGCAGGACACACTACAAGTAAAGTATGGGTTGATTATTCTGTAACTTCATCCAGGAGGGCCTTTCTGGATGGACTGTCCACCGGATTAAAAAATCCAGCAGGTAAATACGAGTAATAGACAACAATCGGATGTTTTTCAAACTTTGGGAACAAGGTTCTAAACATTAATTCCAGGGGGCAGATAAAACATATTATAAGTAACAAAACTTTTATAACTTTCGATAAAATGCGTGGATGTTTTATTGTCATTTTCATTTGTTAGAACTTTTTTAAGCCATGTTTTTATGTGTTTTCGACATTTCAATAATTTTTTAATATAATCTTAAAATATGTCGAATATTATAAACTTAAAAAAGTTACTAAGTTTTATATTGTGTACCGTTCCTAATATTTCTAATCATTTTAATTCATACTTTAAGCTTTATAAAGTTATAATTTGTTAATATTAATATTTGCGCGTATTTCAGGTTCCTGATCATTCATTTTTTAAAGGTTCATAACTTTAAATTAAATTGTGAAGCGCTGAGTAATCATACGACGTTCAATATTTTTTCTTTCAATATGACTAAATAATCCCAATTATAGCAATCTGATACTCATGTCTCAATGTTTTTTCGCTGAATGTGATGAAACCATTTGAAAAAGGTTCGCTTATTGAAATAAATCTACACCAGTTAGTACTTCGATTTCCAGGTAAAGGGAAAAGGCTCATTATCTGCCATATTGGCAGTGAGGATGGATTTGTTGTTGACGGTCTGTGGTGCTTTCAGTCTAAGAAAACTGGAGATTACCACGAGGAAATGAATGGCGAATCGTTTGAACAGTAATTGTGTTGGATAATGCGCCTTATCATTCTCGAAGAATGGAGAAGGTCCCAACAACGGCTTCAAGGAAAGTTGATGTTCAAAATTGGCTCCGCTCGAAAAATGTCAACTTTGAAGAAGCAATGCTGAAAGTACAATTATTAAGAATTGTCAAGGATCACAAGGCGGAATATCAAAAATACGCCATTGACGAAATGGCAGAAAGTCAAAATAAAACTGTGCTCCGTTTACCTCCATACCATTGCGAGCTCAATCCCATTGAGCTCATATGGGCAGGGGTTAAAAATTATATAGCTAAGCATAATACAACTTTTAAATTTTGTGACCTCAAAGGACTTTTCAAAGAAGCACTAGAATTAATAACAGCGCAAAAATGGGAAAACTGTATTAAGCACTTGAAAGACAAAGTTGAAAAGAGAATGTGGGAACTGGACAATATTTTAGAAGAACAAGTCGAGTAATTCATTATTGACGTTGGTGCTTCAGGCAGTAGCGATGATGAAAGCTCATCAAGCTCATCTTTCCAATAAAGGATGTCGTTCATCAAATTCGGTAAGTTATAAGTAATTATAAAGCTACTGTATTTTTTAATTAATTATTGATATTTTTGAACCCATTTTGGCAAAACCTATTCAAGAATCTACTTTCTGACAATGTTCAACCATGCACATTTTTTTACGTTTTGAACGTTTTAATTTGGTTACATATTTACCTAGAAATCAAAAAATATACTAATCAATATTCTAAAAGCAATTTTAAGAGATATACGATTATTTTTAATTTAGGCTAATTTAAACGCTATTTTGAGATTATATTCGACTGTATTTCACCAAACATCAGGCGGCATCCAAAGCTGGAAATCGAAGCGAAAATTTTGAAACCCTTATGTATATTTACATCATTATATATTTCTTACCCCACCCCCACATGATCCTATATCCATCACCAATCGTATACACAGCGAATTGTGCTAATTTACTACAAAGTTACGCAAAGCAGCATCTACTATCTAAAATATGTACTGCGTGACTCTTAATACGTCCCTGCCGAATGTTACAGCGTTCGATGATCACGTGGTCTTGTTTATGTCCGGTCTATCTCTTATCTGAATATACTGTAGTCTGCAAGTTAACATCTTATAGGTTTCTTTTGACGTTTTATAGGTTTTTTACATAATAGTTGTGCCGGACTCATTTCTCGTCACCATTCGCTCTTGCTAAATCGGCTTCTTCCCTCCCATTTGCTTCGATCACAGCAGCGCCTTGAATAACTATTTGTTCGGCTACATTTTTGTGATGTTTAGATAGGTAGGTGGACTCATAAATGGAACATTAAAAATTGAAAATAATTCTTCAGCAGTCGAGAATCCTACTCCCTACGCCAGTAGATATTGCTGCCGATGGTAACGTGTCGTTGATATTTGTGACATCGATACACTCTTTCACCAAATCAATAGTTTTCTTCATGTTGCACAATCGATAAACGAATGCACATTGGTGGGTTATGTATTCGCAAACGAGCAATCAAAACACGGGTGGTTGGAAATGTCTGCGGTTTGTTTGAAGAGAAATCCTATATCAACCACTGGCCTTCCATGTAGTAAGAAAAACTGTACGGTATCAACCTTACTGTCGCTTTCCTGGAAGCTAAAAAAGATATTTTTTATTATAACAGCTTTGTATTGAATAGCAGATTGAGATACCTTGTGTAATTTGTTTCTCCAGCTTCGAAACCGGCTGCTCTCTCTCTGATGAGCGTTGCTGTATCGAGATTTGTTTCACAATTTGGTCAGATATCATCATAGCTTGCTTGGTCCTTCAACAATAAAAGTAATTAGTTATAGTATCAGAAATTGTAACACTGATGATAACAATAATGGCTCTGTCTCTTTTGAGATAAAATGTAGATTTGGCGTGTGGCTTTGCTAATATGTTTTTATAATGAACATGAACCAACAATTTTTTTATCAACTCAAGAGGCTATTTAATGATTTCGCCGAAAACCCCAATATTCCAAGACCTACGGTTACCGAGGTATGCCCTTTTTTGTTTTTATGCTGAGTTCCTTGAAAACGGACATAAATATCTTGTATCTTGTTTCTTTTGTCCAAATAATAACGCAAAATATATGTGGATACCTGGATTACCTACATTTTAGATCTAATTAATAATAGGTATAGAGTATGAATGGCCAAAAGTTACTTTGAACGGACTTAAAACGATTATAAACCGTTACTACTGTTATAAATCTTCACCACTAATGGCCCAAATATTGTCATAGACCTAAAAGATACTTAATACAGGTATCGAAGGTCATCAGCTTGCATTTCGAAGCCTGCCTGTTTTTAATGCTTCGCAATTACTACTTTCATTAATCTCATCAGGGGAAGAAGCTAACCGGTTCCTTTTGAATGGATAACAAATTATTTCTGATGTGCAAGTATATTGTTGAAAATATGAAAGACTTCAGTACTTTCCTAAGTAAAGGTAGGGTCAAAACTACGACGATCTTTGCAATCGAATTTCGATCTTTTATTCGCCCCCCCCCCGCCCCCTAATTTTCCAATAACGGAAGGTTATAGGTCTTTTCCTTTTCTGGGGCAATTTGAACGCACTACTTATGTGTTGTGATTAACCATGCATTGTACATTTATTCTGTGTTAGTATCCACTTACGAACATAAAAAAAATCTTGTCTCATTAACAGAACATTGAACATTCGCCTTTTCCGTAACAAAATCATTAATAGCTTCCAAAATTACCCAGTACAATTCCGATTCCCTGAATAGAACGTTCCATTTCTACATTGGAATTAAGAACATTTCCCTAGTATCGAATTCGCAAATTCGAACATGAACAAAAAAGTTAAAAGCACAGCCCACCTTCCTGTGTACCCTGTATTGAATTTGGCACTCTTATCCACTTGATTCAATATATATAAATAACTTCTTTGATTTTGAAATAACTAATCATTTTTTGCACAGTAGAATCACCCCGTCTCGCACCTAACAATGTAATCATCATGACGACAGCGCAATAAGGTATAAAATAAAGATGATGAAGTCTAACTTTCTACAATCTATATGAGCCTTCAAACAAGTGTAATTTACGAAAAACTTGTAGAGATCAGGTTATTAAAAATTATACGGCAGCTTACATCTAACTAATTAAAAGGTAGCTTCATATCTACCAAGCCAGTTAAAAAAGAATTAATTACAATATATTTCCCTTTGATGTCCTTTCTTCTGTCTCCTGTTCCTTTTTTTACTAGGATATACCCGGATCAGTTGCATAGTTATTCTTCCCATTATGCGTTGTAGCACACTATAAAGGGGCTCCTACAATCATGAGTACCATCTGCTGGGTAACGGCGGGGTGAAAAGGAAACGAGGGTGGGCAGGTCTTAGACGGTTGTCGGCGCTACTTTAAAAGAGGAAAGGATGACTGCGGGTGCGTACCGAGGTAAATTTTTATAATAACAGAGTCAGATTTCGATTAGCGATCTAGCCTGTAAATCGTTTCCTATTTTAGTACTCAGCAAGTGATCATTTAGTATTGTTCTACCCTGGTTACCGTTCGTCCATATTGTGTTGTTGAATTGTTGTGTTGTACTCTTGTTGGTGTGATTGTCCTTGAGTGCCTTTTTTATCAAGGTTGATAATGGACAATAAAAGGTCATATGCGACAATTTTAATTACGAATGCAGTGAGTTTAATTCATGATGAGGACAACAATAATGTGGAGCAGTTCAACTCTATAATCGCAAAATACATTGGGGTAAGCGAATAAATCATTGCAAGAAGAGGTCATACCATGGAAAATGTGCTGCAGCTGTAGTGAGCCGCAATACCGAGCGCCCTGTCTATGTGGTCCAAATACATTTGCGTGCTAAGCTTAGTCCATCCTCGCTTATCACTAAGATGGAACAAAGACTCAAACGCAAGAATCGTGAAAAGAAACTCAGACCAAAAAAAGCTGATATAAAAATAACTAACAATTCGGATAGCAATTCCAAAGAAAATGAATAGTTTTATGGCGAATTCAGTCAAAAACCTGGCATTAACTACATTGATTTGGAGGTTGCTAAGCGAAAATTTTTAGGAAAACAAAAAAAGTACGACGAGATTTTGCTGATCGAACAAGTCACAGGACTGTACTTTGTGGCGTCTTCAACGGAGGATAAGGTTGACAGCGTCTCGATGTGGTGAAGTTTGTATTAGAAGGCAGACCACAAGCTGTGAAGTTCTAGTAAACTCCATCATATACCCAACACAGTTTTCTAGTAAGGCAATAAAAAAAGGCAATACAAAAATCATTGGACACAAAAATCATTGGACACGGCAGTTCAATCTTGTGGTTTGTTTATTGATCGCACACATCTATTTCTGGCAGCATCAGCTACATCTGCTTATTACAGTAGTCAAGACATGTACATAATCCAGGTATAAGCCTACCTATTTATTGCTTTGAAAAAACTACCTAACTGTTTCCTCTTGTTTTGACTGCATAAGATATTTTTATGACCCTCGTTCAATTGTTACCATCTACCACATGACCCTTGTAAACATAATTTTGTTTATTGACATGAATAAACGAATTGTAATTTGAGTTCTTGAATTTATTTTAGGAAATATATAAAATTAGTTGAATACATTTTTTCTTAGTCGGATCGCACCGTCACGACGCCTGGACTGGCAGGTTGAAACAGTAGATGAATTTCGTCCAAAAACCGATTTGCACTTCACAGCTTACGTTTAATTTTTATTATTTCCAAATAAAACTCTTGCAGCGTGCTAAAGACAAAGTCCACAGGGTGCCAGCGATCCACTTTTTCGATTTTATCCACTAGGATCTTTTTAAAATATCAAGAAGTTGAGCACAAATAGTAAGCATTCCAACCCACCAAAATTTTTGCGCAAATACAAAATTTTGTAAAAAGCTCTGATAGCACCATAGGCAATTATGTACTGCTTATATCCAGAAAAACATCACAAACTGCAGAACACAAATTGAAGGTAACGACGAGCTGGGTACATTTCACGGGTCATGAAATTCAAATGAAAATGCAGGTATAAAATCTACCAAATTATCATTCTCAAGAACATATTTCCTTGACATATCGATAATTTCAAAGTTCCACGCTAAATTCCCCTATCTTGACTGGAGTGATATCCGAATTTATTCTTCCCTACTGTCGGTAGTTGCAGATCTTTTGGCTCTTCTTGGTGTCAAACCTATAGAGCAGATACCGATTTTTTTCAAATCGTGAGCACACTATTCGTCAGATTTTAGTTACTTAAATTTCCTGTAATCACTGGGATCAAAAGCTTCTTAATAATATAACGTGTTTCACTGATTTCAACCGCCCCTTTTTAAGCAGTACAATTTTTTTATGTCAATGATTAGGAACCAAGAAACGTCAAAAACCGAGTTTCAGCAATTCTTACTTTTTCTTTTTTGCCTATAGCACCGTTGCCAGTGGAGTAGAACTACAAAGCTTTGGCAGTGTGGAAATTTTGATAAAAATCCGAGCGGTAATTTCCAAGTTGATGATGAGTGATACAGTTTTTCGTGATGTAGATGCCATATGACTTAAAAAAACATAACATCTCATTTTAGAAATTTTTCGCGATTACAATACTTCCTCGCCAATGGCGTGGGAAGTAAAACGGCTTTAAAATCGAGGAGTATCCGCGATCGCGATTGTGAGTCCCTATTTGCAGAACGAGTTATCTACGAGATATTATATGAAATAGAGCCACCAAATTATCTGAATTCTTAGTCCGTACATTGCGCCGCAACGCTTGTGTTGGCAGCACGAAACAGTAGACAAAATTCGTCCAAAATACGATTTGTAGAGGTTTGCGCGCTTCGGAATTGACGTTTTATTTTTTGATATTTTTGTGTGCTGAAAACAAAACCCACAGGGTTCTATAGAGCCACTTTTTCATGTTTTCACTAGGTTCTTTTTAAAAAAATTGCGAAGTTGAACAGAAAAAGTGCGCACTTCAACCCATCATAAAATTTGTGCAAAAACAAAATTTCAAAAAGTGCTCCTATAGCACCCTGGGCAATTATCTTCTCAACATACTGCATGAATTGCATTGAAAAATATTGAAAAATGGAGTGTCAGTTTTGAAGCAGCTGAACCCTTGTAAATGGCTTGAAACTCACTGCGTCGGAGCCGCCTTAATCTCACTAAAAGCAGTCACTAACGGGTGTTCAGTTTGAATTAGGTCGATACCTGCCGATCATCACTCTTATACCCCCCACAGGTACGCTGCTGGCTCAAACATTTCCTAATGAGGACACATCCTATTGCATCCAGTTTAGGCTGTTTTCCGTTATTTGACCGGATAAGAGAATGCATTTCGAGTTCCTAAGTTTCGCAGTTGCTTCAAATTTGGAGACTGGTTATAAGAAATACCTGTCTTGTTCGGAAACTACCGTGTTTTACAAAAAAGGGTTACGGTTTATGGAATATAATTTATTTTTGACAAATTGAACAATGAAATTTCGTTTTATTTTTATTGCTCCTAGTGGAATTAACGAGATCATAGATATGGATGTAACGATAGAAATTGTGTATGAATCCCTTTAAAAATTCGTATCAAAAACACTTTTAGTGAAGCCAGGATACCCAATACCTAGGTGTTTAGGTATGGAAATAAACCATGTTTTATGTCTGGAATTTTGGCCTTCCCCACAATTATTCTGAGAAGCGTATCCTTGGGTGAATTCAGAAATAATCAACAAACCAGAAACCAGAAGACAACGATGAAGGGCTTTAAGTATACTTTATTTGCTTCTTCATTTA